ATATTCCTCCAAAACATCTGTCCAAAGATTTCATTACATAGGTCTTAATAATGGCAGATAGACAGAACCGTGTACACCCATACACAAGGCTTAGCAAGGTCAGAAGGCCATTAAACAATTGGATGTTTACATCTCATCCATCAGGCAGTACAAGTCAGACAAAATCCCTATAGACAAATACAGTGTACACGCCTAGAACAGTATATTTATGTGAGCACTTATTTCAATACATTACTGCAGTGTGTACCATGAATTTATTTGTATGTGTTTTTAAAGCTAAACCCTGGGATTGTTAAAAGAAAGAAAAGAAAAAAGCTCTCTCCTTGTAGCGGCCTCCACACTGCAAGGTCAAGTCTAGTGGTAGAGGAATAAGCAGGAATATTTACTGTATTCCTCACTCCAACAGGTTGTGGGGGGCCCTCTCTGCCTCCACATACAATGCAGGACAATTGCTTCTGCATCAGTCTCCCCCTTATATCAAGGTCCCCATCAGAGTCCCCCTTATATTAGGGTCATCATTAGAATCTTCCCTTATATTAGAGTCACCATCAGTATTCCCCCTTATATCAAGGTCGCCATCAGAATACCCCCTTATATCAGGGTCGCCATCAATATCCCCCCTTATATCAGGGTCGCCATCAGTATCCCCCCTTATATCAGGGTGGCCATCAGTATCCCCCTTATATCAGGGTCCCAATCAGAGTCCCCCCTTATATTAGGGTTCCCATCAGTATCCTCCTTATAACAGGGTCCCCATCACAATCCCCCTTACATCAAGGTCCCAATCAAAGTCTCCTCTTATATCAGGGTCCCCATCAGAATCCCCCCTTACATAAAAAGGTCCCCATCAGAATCTCCCCTTATATTAGGGTCCCCATCAGAATCCCCCCTACATCAATGTCCCCATCAGAATCTCCCCTTATATCAGGGTCCCCATCAGTATTCCCCCTTATATCAAGGTCCCCATCAGAATCCCCCTTACATCAGGGTCCCAATCAAGAGTCCCCCCTTATATCAGGGTCTACATCAGAATCCACCCTTATATCAGGGTGGCCATCAGTATCCCCCTTATATCAGGGTCCCAATCAGAGTCCCCCCTTATATTAGGGTCCCCATCACAATCCCCCTTACATCAAGGTCCCAATCAAAGTCTCCTCTTATATCAGGGTCCCCATCAGAATCTCCCCTTATATTAGGGTCCCCATCAGAATCCCCCCCTACATCAATGTCCCCATCAGAATCTCTCCCCTTATATCAGGGTCCCCATCACTATCCCCCCTTATATCAAGGTCCCCATCAGAATCCCCCTTACATCAGGGTCCCAATCAGAGTCCCCCCTTATATTAGGGTCCCCATCAGTATACCCCCTTATATTAGGGTCCCCATCAGTATCCCCCCTTATATCAGAGTCCCCATCACAATCCCCCTTACATCAAGGTCCCAATCAAAGTCTCCTCTTACATCAGGGTCCCCATCAGACTCCCCCTTACATCAGGGCCCCCATCAGAAGCAAAGAACAGCTGATGTGGATTTTCAGTCTGTCTACAGCTCTGCAGAGTGAGGATACACCACCAACTCTAGCTGTGGGCAGGATGTGGGCCATAGTTTAGAGACCCCTGACCTATAGGAACTTTCTGTGCCACCAATTCAGTAATTTTCTTAACTATGACTGACCAAGTCCAGAAAGAGATGTGGATTATACTATGTACAGAGTTCCAAACGTCTATATTGTGCGGGAAATGACTGACGTGGTCACGTGACCGCATCTTCCATCCTAGAACGAATATCTGTCAGCCTTACAAGTCAACACATAGACCGATTTTCAGCCAATCAGATGTACAATAACCTTCCTTTAACAACAAGGGCCACCAGAATGGTCACATGGACTCTACCATGACAAAGCAGAGCACTGTTTACATGAGATAAGGGCTCGGAAAGCTGCTTTGGTTACCTTGTTCTGTAGGGAAGGTTTTTCAGGCTAAAGACCGAGTTTACTAACAGCGAGAGCAGTTATGTCAGAAATGTGGAATCATAACCTGCCAAAGTCAACACATAAAATAGAAGACTGTGTTTGTATGGCATTCAGGAACCTGGATATGCAGCCTCGCAGATCTACAACCACAAAATAAGGTCACAGGTCCCCGAAAACTATGTCAACACTCCGTCCCTGTGGATTCCTGTTATTAAACAAAGCCATGACTATATTTACCTTCACGCTGGATAAGGCTGCTATTTCTGAAAGCATTCATTTGAATTTGTTTGGAAAATGTACCTGCAAGCTATTTTTTCTAACATCATGGCCATATTTGTACAGGTTTTATGAACCCATAACTATATCTGTAAATGCTCCCTCTAGTGGCTATATGTATGTCAGGCAGTGCAGTTACATCTCTGCTGAATTAAGCTATAATCATACTTCTGTGCTTTGCTGCATTGAAAAAAAAAATCTTTTGTGCAGTATTTCAGCAAAAAGCATTCTTTATATAGATAAATGCTAAAACCCATCTAATATACAGGGTGTCCCTACAGTCTGGACACATTGGCAAAATGCATATTGAAGAAAAAAAAAACATATAGTTAGTGATATTTCCTATGTGTCCAGATTTTAGGGACACCTTGTACAGAGGTACATATACCATATGAAATATTATTTCATTTGGATAGTAAGCAGTGAATGGAGGGGTCATACAGCTTCCATGACCCTCTTGACAGAGCTGTCCATAGGCATTCACTGAAAGTGGAAAATTCAGGATGGGACACTCTCCTAAACTAGTAAGAGGCTTATATATACCTGGGCCTGGAACCCAAACCAAACACTTTAAACATCAAGATTTAGAAAACTATTAACACACATCAAGTTGAGGTTTAAACAAATATTTTCTTTGAAAACTTTAAGAAACACCAGTTTACATTCCGTTATTTGGGCTAAAGGGCTCAAAGCAGACACACAGTTCCAACCAACACAAGGAGACATACCATATGTAGCATACATCTCACCAGGGGCGGACTGACCATTTGGAAACTCGGGCACTGCCCGAGGGCCTGGGGTCAGTAGGAGGCCCCATGAGATGCCCCTGGTACCTTTTTCATAGGCTTTTGTGAGTTTGGGCAAGGACACAGGGGCCCCATGATCCCCTATTGCCCGGGGCCCCATGAGTTGTCAGTCCGCCCCTGCATCTCACTATCCTAACATGACATAGCAGGAAGAGTCATGCTAACCATACAGATTGTACAATCTTCTTCAGGTCTACCAACAGCCATGTCATGCAAGGGGTCTGTTTGACTGAATACGATTTAAAATACCTGCTTAGATCAGCTATTCTCAACCAAGGGTTCCTCCAGAGGTTTCAAGGGGTTCCTTGAGCTGTGGTTGACTGATCTCCCATCTGATAGTGCCGGCATTATTCCAAGGCCAATGGCACTTGGCAAAACCAGTAGCTTGATACCAATGAAATTTTTTTTTCTTTGTAGAGGTGTTTAAGGGTGGAACTCTTCCTACTGACCACCAATGTAAGGGGAATTTTTCCCATTGCTCCCCAATGAATTGGACTTAGTTAGGGTTCCCCTGAAAATACTTTAAGGGTTCCTCCAACGTAAAAAGAATGTGCAAGGCTGGCATAGATCCTCATGTTACATTGTTTTTGAAAATCTACAGAAAATTTTAGAGATAGTACACTCAGATTGTGACATGTATGCTTTTTTTTTCTTTTTACTATTCACAATGCAAGAAACTCTAATGTAAATTGAGTACAATAATGCACAATTCCGGGCACACAAAAAAAAAAAAAAAAAGTACTCTTGCACTGGGGTCTCCTATTCCAGCACTGATGGGTTAAATGCTCAATTCGTCTGGGGCAGGGGTGTTAAACTGATGGCCCTCCAGCTGTTGCGAAACTACAAGTCCCATCATGCCTCTCATTTGGGAGTCATGCTTGTAACTGTCAATCTTGCAATGCCTCATGGGACTTGTAGTTTGGCAACAGCTGGAGGGCCGCCAGTTTGACACCTGTGGTCTAGGGGGTAGAGAAATAAAGTGTAATACTTACCTTATTCCTCACTCCAGTGGGCCCCCTTCATCTGTGGAATCATCCCCCAAAGTCTCTTCTCTAAGATGTACTGGCTGGAGGACACATCAAGTACAATGCAGGACCAATAGTCCTGCATTGTATGTGGAAATACAAAAGGGACATGAACATTTAACCCTTGCAGTGCAGGGAGTGTGGGACTAAATTCACAAAACAATTACATTCAAGGCATGCTGTGAATGAGAACAGTCACCAGTTGCTTGCGCTTTCAACTGAACGTCCAAGCCAATGGCCAAATGCCTGTTGTCATAACTGGTCACATGTGCAACACCATAGCAAATGCAGATCAAACAAAGACCAAGATGGCAGCTTCCTTGACTGTAAAGATAAGGGGATTTCAGTTCCGCTCTAAGGATGTGTAAATGTAGAAGTTAAAAAGGAACACCACCTTCTCCCCATTGTTTGTGTTGGCTGCTAATGGCCATATAATTAATGGGGGGGGGGAAATAAGAGACTGATGTATACATATTGCAGAACTAGAAAATGATGGTGTTACCTAAAGCAGCCAATCTGTCTTTTGCTTAGAGTGACTGTCATGAGAAAGGTAAGGGGGCTGCAATTGCCATCCTCTCTTCTTGTCCAATAGCATCAATGCTCTCCAATCTCCAAGTCCCTGGTCCACAACCAGGGTGGACGTCAAGAGTTCTGACTTTACTTGCCACATGCTAGTTCCAGGTCTGAGACACAGACGTCAAGAGACAGCCAAGTGGAACTCAGCAATGGCATGGTCTCAGTACAGGGTTCCTCGACCCATTCCATCCCCACTATTGGGAGACAAACTCTGGACACTGATTGGCTGCTTTGGGTTACACAAACTCTCTTCTCTTTTTAGAACACACAAGCTTGTTATTTGTTATCAGTAACACAAGGTGAGCAAGAAAAAGAGAGCGACAAGCGGAGGCTGGAATACATTACTTGGCATATGCCGCATGCAGCATAGGATAGACCTGGCTTTGATGTTGAATTCTTTCTCCCCTTCCCGCAGCCCTTGGTTCACCAGATTCACCACATCGTCAGGTGTGATGTCACCCCTGCAGAGACAAAGCCCATTACACACAGGATATGGCCACATCTCAGATAAAATCCAATTCCAGATTGTTGATATTGTAATACAGGGCAGAAAAGCAACCAACTCTCTAATGGCTACATGGATCTCCCCTACTTGTATGGGCTTTTGTGACCTATCACCATAATTATGGTGGTGAGCTGGGCAGAAGCCACCGACCCATACACCTGCAGTGGTACCTTGCTCTCCTGAATCCACAGGGTTTGGAGTTGATTTGCAATCTGAAGTGTGTGCAAATGTCTAATAGATTCCTACATGCAAGCTTTACGGTGTGGGTGGATGAATCTCCCACTGAAGCTATTGGTTTTGGACAGCCAGCTCCAATGGCTTCCAGAATACCCCAAAAGTGCCTGCATCTGATTGGATGCAGTTGTTGTTCGGCTGACAATTTTCAATCCAGCCTTTCGATCTTCCAAGAGAAGAATATCAGGTGGGAGGATGGCTAGGAAAAGTGGAAAAATGGCACTGGACCAGTAAGGTTATCCAATTGGTATTGCTATATTTTTATCAAGGTATTGATATGGATGTAGGTGATTGCTTTCCCAGCCAGGTGGATTCTACACCCCAGAGAATCTCCATGGTTTCTTTGGCTTGTCATGTAATGTAGCAAAACTGAAGCACCAGAGCACTGCTAAAAGGTCCAGATACAACTTTATTCTAATAAAGGTCAGGGGGACAATTTAAAGAGCAGCCAGTGCGTTTCAGGAGTCCAAAACCTTCAACAAGACTTGAGAATAGAAGCAATATAAATGGATGAAAGTCAACTGGACCTTTACTGGTTATTCTGCCAGTGTGAGTACAAGCACAGGTCTTGTCTGCAGCTGGTTTGGGGTGGGAAGGTGGCAACAGGGCCACCCATTGAGTGAATTTTTTCACAGGATTCCCCCATCAACACAGTCAGTGTTGGGGGGGAAATCCCTCCTGCAGCGCTATTTGTGTTCTGCCGGTGGAGAGCCTTCAAGGCAAGCAGAACACAATGATCATTGTCTATAGCCACCGACAGTGAACGCGTGAAAAAAAAAAAAATCGGACAGGTAGGCTGTACTGAAGCCAATCGATGCATCAACTTCAGTACAACCAGCTTGCCCATAGATGGATCGAATATAGTCTGGTCCCTGCTGAGCTGGCCGAGATTTGATCCATCTACGGCCAGCTTAAAGATGTCTTGCAATTTTCTTCATGCAACTATTGAGAGGCTTTTTCCTGCTTTAAAGTTTTTAAAACAATGAAGCAGTTACATGCAGGGGCGGACTGACCATTCGAGCACTGCCCAAGGTCAGTAGGGGGCCCCATGAGATGCCCCTGGTACCTTTCATTGGCTTTTTTGGGTGTGGGTGAGGACACAGGGGCCCCATTATCCCCTATTGCCCAGAGGCCCCATGAGTTGTCAGTCCAACCCCGGTTACATGTATCTATTATTGAAATCTTTTAAAGAAGAAGTGTAGCCAAAGCCGTTTTAGCTATTCTCTCGTAGATGACAGGAGTGCACTTCCTTCTGCACTCCTGTAACCCATTTTTAACTGATAGCGGGCTAAAGTCCACTGTTGGCTGATGTCACTCAGCTGACCTAGTTCTCCACCATATGGTCGGCATCCATCCAGAAGCCTGGACCGACACCTGGCTTAGCCTCTCGGTGATCCATTAGGAGCCTGACACAGCCCCTCCCAGCCCCTCCACAGCCCAACGCTCCATTGAGCGCTGGAGGGGCAGACCAGAGAGCTGGTGACTGACAGAGGGAGAACTGAGTGATCAGCAGTGTTTGATCGCTTAGATCTCAGGCTAGAGCTGGCAGGGGGCATCCCCTAGGTAAGTATAATTTTTTTTAAGTCCATTCCTTCTCTTAATATTCTTTTCCTTATTATTTTGTACAATTATAAAATCCTGTCATTTAAATTTGGCAAATTAACCCACACTGACCCACGTACAGCTTTAATTTTGCCTGCCCATTTGTGCAGGTCCCTGAGATCAAAGTTCCCACAGATGTCACTTACTCCTCCTGTCCCCACGGGATGGGGTCCACCTTGGAATTGGCAAGGAAGTGGGGGCTGTATCTGACCTCCACGTACACCACCCCTTCTTTGGCTTTCATCTCCACAAATTCATAGGCCACTCGCTTGATCGCCTCTCTGTCACCCCTAAAGAAGTAAACAAGTATGGATATCGGTGCAGTTTAATTTACAAAATGGCAAACAAGGCAACAAAAAAAAAATGAACAGCACTTTTTTTTTGTTTCTATAAATATCTCCCATTGTGTGTAATCTGTTATTAATGCAGGCCACACCTAGGACACATACAGGGTTAGTGTATCTCAGCTCTCTGTCTTCTAGTAAAAGGCTTAGACATCCCAAATCTCAATGGTAATCCAGTCTTTCATCTTTGCAGGACTCTATTGGCGAGATCACTGAGCAGAGTTCCTGGGTCTGCACACATGCTGTGCCCATTATGAAGGGTTCCCACCAACCCTGCTTGATTTATTTTTCTATATTATGGAGAAAGTAACATGAGAAACTGGAACAAATAAAAACTTGCTTGAACACCTAAAACTTTGAGGAGCCAGGAATGATGGCAGGAAGATCTATCTCTGTTGGAGTACCCTGGACATATACAAAACTCGGATATTAACTCTTCCCACCAGACTTCACCTATTACTAAAATATCACTTTTGGTGGGACTTGCCCTTTAAGACATTTGGACGGGTCAAACTGAATCCACAAAGCTTTGACTTATCTATTTTTTCTGGCATTCTATCTTAAGGGAAACCTGACCGTTTCTGACTTTATTATTTTTTGAAGCACTGACCCAGAGCCCGACTGCAGTTCATGAAGTCACCTGGGAGTCAGTAAGCCAGCAAGGCAAACATCATTATAGAAAAGTGAGTTTATGAATGTCAAACTTTGTATTTTCTGAGCGGCCTTTTATTGAATGTTATCCTCTGTACTCAGCCCCCTATACTAACAGGCCCATAGTAGCCCATTATAACTTTCAATATGTCTTTTTGTTAAAGCTACACAGAAGATAAAGGATAGACTGGAGTCCTCCCAGAGTTTACTATAGGAACCTCTCCCCTGTCTGCAGCCCCAGCTTAGCACCCCACGGCCGGGCTAGTCCTGGAAACATCTGCTTGGCGTCTGGCAAAAAACAGATCTGGAAGAGCCTTTGGGTGACTCACGCAATGGCAGGCATATAGTGATTGAATTTGGCCAGGAATTCTGTAAGACTGAGAGGTTCTTCATATGAAATGATTTTCAGGAGGCCTTCTACCGTGTCTGCTGGAACTGGGATCTGTCTTTTCCTGGACAGAAAAAAAGAGAGAAGATCTGGAATTAGGAGAGAAGACACAGATACACTGATCACATTGTTATCCGTACATCCCCCCCAAGTACTAGTCAGAAAGGCAAATAGGTGCGAGTTGTTCCTTCATAAAAAGTTCACACACTGAGGCTTTTTGTTTCATATGGACAAAAACGTAAGCAGGAGACCCCAACCATAGGAACCGTGGGGTGGACTGACCCTTAAAGAGAGCCTGTCATTTTGACCATTCAGGGTTCTCTTGCTAGTCTACCCCTCCCTCCCCCCCCACTGATACTCACCATTCCCTGCCAATCTGTCAGTCCTAAAAAATACCCAGTACTTCCAGGTATGGGGGAAGCATGTGACCTTTTCCTCTTTCGCCTGGTAAGCAGTTCTTGGGCATGAGTGGCCATATGCCACAACTGAATTGTGTCACATTGGGAGGCAGAAGGACATTAACCCATGTAAGTTCTAACACCAGCCGCCTCTCTCTCCCTGCACTCTAATTTCCATCTTTTCCCATCCACTCTCTGCTCTTCTCCCACTCATCTCCCCCTATCCCTTTTCTTTACCTCCCAACCTCTTCTTTTACCCTTCAACCCTTTCCTCTTCTCCATCTCTCCCTGCCTTTCTCTTGCAAATCAAGGAAAATACCCACTACTCAGGATACAGGCATACATTGCCATATCCCTGTATTAGACACAAAGACAAACTGGAGGGAAAACCCTCAACAAAGATGGGACTTTAAGGCATTGTACAAACACTCTTCCTAAAAAAAAAAAAAAAAAAAAAAGTAAAAATGGTGTAATGTCCTGCAAACAATGCCGACGCGTTTCACTGTTCACATCTGCTTCATCGGGGACCTTTTTCACAGTTATCACATACCAATAAAATCATACAGATAAATGACATCTCTGAATTTACAAAAGCTTACCACCACATCTATTTGAATGTCAGTTACAACTACTTCCTGAGAGGGCGCTATGCGTGAGCGGTTGAAACGCCCTCACCTCACCAAAAACAGCAAGGGAAGGCATCTTTTTTGAGGGTTTTCCCTCCAGTTAGTCTTTGTTTCTCTATCTATGCAATTCCATTTCCCACGACGGTAATCACATTATATTTTATACATTTATTTGATATATATTTATTTATCTTCTTATATTGTTATTATACTTTACACTTATATGGACAGTATATAATTACTTTGCAAAATGGAGGATTGTCTCTGGCTTGAAGCTGCCATCCAAGTGGACGTGGAGTTCAACCTGCAGCAAATATGAAGCACAGCATTAGGAAGTTACATGCAGAACACAGAGCTTACAATACGTCTCTCTGCCTTCCTAAGGAATGAATTCTAGAAATCCAGCTGTTCCTTCCGGATGGAATAAAGCAATGTGATGAAGCAGTTTGGAAAGGGAATTTGACCTTTGTCGAGTGGTTTGACCTTTGTCAACCAGTTTTTCATGCATTCTCTAGCACAGATGTCAATATCGAAGTATATTAAAGGGTGTCTCTACCTAAAATGAAGATTTCCTTTTTTGATGGCCACCAGTGGTTAGAGCCACCTGCAGGCTTCCTAGACCTCTGGAGACACCTGTGGTCAGATTTCTTTTCAGCCATTTCTGAGAGCTGGATTCCCAATGATATGTTCATTCTACATCTTCTGAAAGAGGGTGAAAGCATGACTGCAAATGAGGGACTGGCATGGGGGTTCTGGTGGGTAAATATTACCACTGGAGTCCCCAAGCCATACAAAAAGCTAGTATGTATTTCAACTGCCCACAAAAAGGTTTAGAACTGAAATGTCCATTTTGGGTGTGCTGCTGACCTGTAAATTTCATAATACAGTAGTACAACAGCAACTGTGCCTTCCGGTGACCACATTTTCAGTTGGTTTAAGTCCTTTGACATTCAGTGAGGTCTGTTACTGCAGTGTGACACTTCAAGGGACACTCCGGTCCCAAAGAACAATTTGTATAAAATACAGGTACAGCATTAAAAACCTCTGTGTGCAATCTACAGTTGTTTCCCTAGGAGTTTGACCTCTACCTGGACTCTGAATGCAGTCTACATGCCTAGTGTATAGGGTGTGTCTATTATAAAAGGAGGGTTATTACTATGATAAATGTTCCCAGTGACCGGTTCACGAACAATAATCAATGATTTTTTTTTGCAAAGCCATCACTTCCCACACAAGACCATATTCATAACAGTAGAATACAGGCTTGGCTGTGTGCCGGGAATTGTCAATATTTGCCAACAATCACCCTCTATATTCTCTTCTCTTACCATGTGACTCTGCGTGTGGGAAGAGCTAGTACATGCAAATATTTTACACAAAAATTTCCATTTACAGGGCACTGAATGAGTGCAGTGACTAGCGAGCAGGACTGAGCACACAGGATCGCCATAGGATTCACCAATAAATGGTTGACCATCCCAATAACGTCTGAGCAAAGCGTCAGGGTTGTAAAAATAAACACTAAAAATCAACTTTATCCATTTAATAAACATTCACACTTGTCCATACAATTCTTTGTTTGTGACAGGTACCCTTTAGCCTCACATTCTGAGCAGAACTAGTTATATCAATTACAAGTGAGGGTGCATAGCATTGACATGGCCTTATCTCTATCCACACACCAGTCCTGGATGGGACGGGCTGGACAACAAGACACCCTGATAAGTAGTGATGACGACTGACGCATCACCGCCACATCACAAACTGTCACATCACCGCCACATGACTTACTATGACCAGCATTGACGCACAGGGCCAGACTGGTGGAATAATTGAAAGATACGAGACAATTCACCCCCCTACAAGATTAGACAAGGCTTTTAAATTGGGCAATTCAGCACTAGAGGGATCCCGATGCAGCATTTTCTCCAGGAAAAGCATTTCATCCCCTCTATTACTCTTTTTCTATCTCTATAGCTATGCATAACTCACCATTATCTTAACGAATACATATAGGTCCACCCTACGAACTATTTCACAAAAAAAACCCAGAGATGTTACTTTTAAGCGTAGCAATGATTAGGCACAATGCGGACAGCTATGGGGGGGGGCAACAAAAGTCAACTTTAATATGCTTTCAAACGGTTACGACAAAATGCTACACTGCCTGTTTCAGAAACTGGACAATATTTTACTTCACACATCAGAAATATCTAAAACCTGTTCAAATTTAGCTGGCAGTATAAAATAACATCACTGCTTGCTGTATACACTACTATTATACAAGCAGAAGCCGGTGTACAAGGGCTCAGGCCCCATCTCAATGCACATTGACCACAGCCCCATCCCCAACACCCATATTATATTGTAAGAAAAATAAACCATCATATCACACTCAGCACAGCCTATTACAGGAGTGAAGACTGTTGATCCTGCAATCTGTGATGATCACTGACCTTCCTGGTCACATCACACAGCCACTGGAGTCTTCAGGTTCCTGTGAGGACCCCACCAATGGACATATTTAAAGTGTCCACACCACTCTATGCAGTCCAAAAGCACATTTCCTGACCACAGAATTCAGGTGGGGCATTTTAATTTGGTTTTAAATCTACAACTTTACCCCAAACTTTCTCCCCCGATAAGCTAGACTCGGAGCCTACATCACCCGTCCCCTGCCACAATGGACAGGCTAAACACAACAGATCATCCACAAGGCAATCTAGGCAGGAGACTGAGTCCTTATGGATGTCCATGAGGTCCAGCTACAACCTTCATGTTCCTGTAGTAAATCAGGATAGTACAAGTGGTCAAAGCTGCATACTTTCCCATCACTTCACAAGGGAGAATGAACTTGTAGACAGTTGGATGCCTGACAGGGACATGACAGTACAGACAGTGCAAATGGGGAGGCTTCTTTGTGCCTATTGTAACCCTCATCAATGTCTACAAAATGGATGGTGAGGGCCAAATCTGCCACCTTACCTACAGACCCATTCTGCGTTCATCCATCTCAAGTTACAAGTGCCTACAGAAGGTTGGAGGATGCCAGGACCTCTCATTGCCCTCCAGTATCTGTGGGCAGCATGTCTGCCACGTTCAATTAAAGTTTGGCAAGGGTAAAATTAAATTGACCACTACTCTTCCTTTGTCTCTTCTGCCACCCACACTGCAATAGACCTTCCCAAATGGCACACAAGCTGCTCAGCATCTTAAAAGAGCTTTGGAGACGTGCCTTGGGCCATAAAGAGTGTGGATTTCCTCCAACCTGTTGGCCTTTATATAAATCACAGTGCTGCCTGGCAGCAATACAACAGAAGCACCACAAAGCCAAGGATATAAAAGTCAGTCCTGGGCTAGCCGCGCTTTATTTCTAATAGGACTACAAGCCCAGATCATGCCGAGACTTTTTTTTACCTCAATCAGTTTACATGCCGAGACTTTTAATCCTGCAGGATATGGAGGGTTACAAGCCTTCAGTTACATTATGGTGTGACTGAAGGATAATTATACACACAATATGTTTTTATCTATGCCCATCTTGCTTTAAAATCATTGGGATTTGTGTTGTGTCTAAGCCTGACCCCACAGCTGCACCATAAGGACTGACACACAAAGGAGAGTTCCTATTGGTTTACAAAACTTTTTTTATGGTATTTTTGATACAGCCATGTTTCAGCTATGACTGACTATTGAGGAGGTGGAATCAGTGGCAGACTTCATCAATAAATGTCCCCTATGCAAGAACTATTTTTGGGCCTCCAGCCAACTACTGTACAAATACTTATTATTTGCAGTCTATAGAACAGTGGTTCTCAAGCTTCCTAATGCCCTTTAATACAGTTCCTCATGTTGTGGTGACCCCCAACCATAAAATTGTTTACCCAGTAATTATAATTCATGAAGTGTTGTTTTACCTTCAATACTGCTGCTTTCAGCACAGTAGCTGCTTTCAACACAGTAGCTGCTTTCAGCACAGTAGCTGCTCTTTACACATCAGAAATATGTGTTTTCTGATGGTCTTAGGCGACCCCTGTGAAAGGGTCGTTCGACCCCCAAAGGGGTCACGACCCACAGGTTGAGAACCACTGCTATAGAAGGAATGCTGTCTATAGAATAGAATTAGGGCGTCATAATGAGTTCCCCCATTTTCTCCAGAGTTCCAGAGGGCCCTTGTGTAGCTGCACGGTCTGCACGAATGGAATTCCCACCCCTGAGTTACAGAACCTACTGATAGCCACACCTACTTAACAAAAAAATAAAATGAAAGAAAATGGCACTTTAAGAAATTAATAAGCAACGGAACCTATAGTACGTTATACCAGAAAGTCTTTAAAAAGCAACCCTAAAACAAAACATTTTGTTTTAGATACATCGTGGTAAGATAATAGCTTGCATCAGCTTTTTATTTCTCCTGGCAAGGGAAAAAGAGAATAAGGCCTAGAATACTGTTGCTACGAATACAGATCATATGTTGCAAGTTAACACTGCTTTACTATCTCATCATGTTTAAAGATAATGAAAAGAAAGAAAAAAGGAAAAGGAATAAAAATACTAAATATTTACACCCAGTAAAAGATCAAAAATATCCGAAGGGCCCTGCTGGAAAACCAATACTATAAGCATTCATATTGATAAGGTATTTTTAGCTTTGGTGGTTATCACAAAAAAAAAGAAGAAGAATCCAATGAAGTATTCAAGATAACAAACATTAATATCATTCTATCTTGAAATCTGATTGGTCCAGATTTGGAAATTCAATGGTCAAACGCAATTCCCTCTAAAAATGTAGCTGTTGCATCAGAATTAGAACTGACTATTCTGTTTAAAAGTCCAATCTGCATGGTATCCTTTTATGTGCATATAAAACACTCGAGATTATATCCAATGGAGACAAACACTGGAACCCCTTTCCTTGTAAACTATGAGCACTCCAGAAATATACTAGAACTCAATGCTTGCCATATGTAAAACATAGTTTTAGCCAGTGTGTGGTTACTGTAAACTAGATAGAATGTGCGCATAGAGGGGGGGGGGTTATTTCATACGCCCCCATACACAAAAATCCTGTGCACTCTGAATACATTAGGCCATATGCTGACGCCATTCAGAGAAATGAACCACAAATAGTAGAAATCATAGTAAAGGTGGTGCATATTGGTAAAGGCTTTGGGTGGTGCATATTGGTACCCTCTTGAGAGCCACTGGCTTTGGGTCCCACTTTACTTCCTGCACAGCCAGGCAACACACATTTTCCACTTGTATAAAGACACAAGAAACAGTCTATGGGTTTGTTTTTACGTTTTA